ATTACAGCCGATAAATGATCGGTCCATAATGATAATGATTTATTTTGATTGATAGCCTTTATGTTTTATGAAAGTCAAAGTATGTTGGAACATTTTCATTTGTTGCTAACAATACTGATGTGAGTTAGATTTGGTTTGAAATATTAAATCATCCATCTTTGCTCACTACATCTTGGCCTTTCTTGTCATAAAGTGTGTAAAAACTACAGCTTATGAACTACAGGTTAACAAAATGTGATATTATCAGTTATCTTATCGATGTCTGACCGTCATTGTGTTTCAGTCTCTTAGATCCAGATAGCCACGGCTCATGGATTTTCCACTCTTTGCCTGATATCTTGTTTTGTTTCGTAAGTTGTCAATTGTTCTGGACTTCTTTTGACCCTCAGCATCCAGAAAGGGTGAACTCCCTGAACCTCGAAGGTTTAAATAATAGGGCTGCACAATATGGTAAAAAAAAGTTACAGTGCGATTATTTTCACAGATATTGCGATATGATTCCCGATATGTGGAATTTATTCAGTCAACCCTTTGAAAATGTTGACTTTAGGACGTCTCAAACAGTCTGTTTGTTGCCATATGTAATCCACAGTTTTTTTTATGATGTACTTTGTGTTTTCAGAGTTTCCTAGGCGGTTTGTTTGGGCCGGTCTGTGAGATAGATGTACTGCTGAACGATGCAGAGAACAGAAAGACGGCCGAGTTGAAGACGGAAGATGGGAAAGTGGAGAAACACTACCTGTTCTACGACGGGGAGTCTGTGTCTGGGAAGGTAAACGGAATTTACGTCATTTATAAAGTGTTGTTTGCGAGCTCCGCAAGGTTCAGTAAAGAGGTTTTACACACATGAAGCGTGATTTAAACTCGCTGTCATTTTATTCATTAGTGAACAGTACTCAGTCAGCAGATAATGGACTTCACGGCCATCCACCAGTCTATTTTAGGACGCTCTCTTTAACTGAACCCAGTGGGAAATTAAGGTTCTTTTGATGTGTGTGCAAGATTTGCTCCGACTTTGGGAGGGAGTGAAGCATCTATGTTTAGGATCCCTGAATGTATTAGCCGATACATCTGCTTTATAAAGTAATATTGGAGTTTAGTCGGTATTACATTCACATATTCTTGCGATATTTGCCTGATTGGCTTCCTCTGCCATCACAGAAGAGCCTAACCTGTTTGGACCTGCATGTGTACCAACACCTAACAAAAATATAAATGAATGCTTGTTTGTGATCTATAAAAACAGGATCTCTTAGTTTTTTTTCTGTCAAGGTCAAATATATATGTTTAAATCGGTAATATTGTCAAACTATCATTGTGACAACATGCTTTTTGGTTCATACGATACTTGATCTGTTGATCAAATGTTTCCTCTCAAGGTGAATCTAAATGTGAAGCAGGGAGGAAAGCGACTGGAGCATCAAGGCATCCGCATCGAGTTTGTTGGACAGATAGGTGAGCATGATTTAAAGTGGTGCATTTATTTCTCTCTGCGATCACGCTGTTTTCCTGTCTTTTGCAAGAGGCGTAAAGTGTATGCAGAGTTCATTGTTATTTATGATTATGGTGAGCTCTGTTGTTGCTCTGATATTAGTAGGATGGTGCTGTTGGATATATTTAACACTCCTCTAAATTGCCTTATGCAACTAGCTCCATGAAATGTTAATTGAGTGCCTTGGGCTTTATAGCTGGAAAACTACTAGTCAGCAGTGGTCTGTTGGCGTTCTCATGTGGCTAAAAGGTTTAACAGAGCATGTGGTCGTCATGTGCAGCCTGCCGTAGTAGAGCTGAGCCCTCCTCCAAATGTATTTGCTGTAGGGAGGAGGGTAACGAGAGCAGTGTGTTGAAAGAGCATGACATGCTGACATAAAACCAATGTATAAAACAGTTTGTGGTGTGTTTTCAATTATACGCCAACCACTCTAAATCCATTCTGCTGTATTTCAGAGCTCTTCTCTGACAAGAGCAACACCCATGAGTTTGTGGACTTGGTGAAAGAGTTGGCTCTGCCTGGAGAACTCACCCAGAACAGGAGCTACGACTTTGAGTTCATGCAGGTGGAGAAGCCCTATGAGTCCTATACTGGAGCGAATGTCAGGCTAAGGTATATGAATTACACAGTTTCGAGGCTATATGGGGCAAACCGCAAGTTCTGTTACAGCATTTATCACATGGGTGCCATGTCTTTTAGTCCCGTTTGATGTTTTTGACGGGCAGTGAGCTCAACTCAACTTTATTTAGCACCTTTCATACAAACATGCAGCCCGAAGCACATAGCACATAGCAAGTTGAAACAACACATAAAAACAAAATGAACAACCATAAATAAAATTGGCCAAGGCAAATAAATAATCAAATGTATAAATAAAATGTAAAACATCATCAAAATAAAAATCTAAATAAATGTTGATGTGAAAATAAAATCTATAAACTAACATTCAGCATGTAGCATCCAGGTTCAATCTTGGCAGCAAGCACTCTGCAGGGGAGCTTTTCTCCAGCTCATCTTGTGCTGTCACCTTGCTGGAGGGCGACAGTAAGAAAAAAATCAATAAATATGTTGCTGGTATAGGACTGTTATCAGTCATTTGTTTTAATTTGTTTATTCACAGGAAACATATTAAATATAAGCATTGATCGATCATTTCAAAGTAAATATCTCTAACATTTTGCTGGCTGCAGGTTCACAAATGTTTGTCTTTGGTTTGACTAATCATGACTAATGACTAATTTATGGTCATTTTATATATTTTATGATCAGTTAATGAAAATGTTAATATAATAATTACAGTGTTTTGTTGTCAGTAACCCTATGTTATTAATAATATATCAAAGAAACGGCCCAATTCGGACTGACTTCCAATGAACAGTAGAATATGTAAATTGCCCTGACTAGTCAATATATGATTAAAGAAAACACATTATGGGTTGTTTTAGTCAGGTATGTGCACATGTGAAGGACTTTTCTTTCTCCTGCAAATTTCATATGGTTGTCACAGATCGACAGAACGGGCAAATATGTTTGGATTACAGCATTTTCTGCATTGTTTCAGTCTGACTCTGAAAGCTTGCGTTGTCTGTGTGTTGTTGTTGCAGGTATTTCCTCAGGGTGACAATAGTTCGTCGTCTGTCTGACTTGGTGAAGGAATACGAGCTGATTGTCCACCAGTTAGCCACCTACCCAGATGTCAACAACTCAATCAAGATGGAGGTCGGCATAGAAGACTGTCTGCACATTGAGTTTGAGTACAATAAATCCAAGTAAGATCAATATCACTTTAACTTCTCTGATTAAGTCTTGAATGCTTCTTCAGCAAACCCCAAATCCAAATAAGATCAGTTTGAGCAGCTTCTCTTTATGCGTGTCTTTGTTGTAGATACCACCTTAAGGATGTGATTGTTGGGAAGATCTACTTCCTGCTGGTCAGGATCAAGATCCAACACATGGAGCTACAGCTCATCAAGAAGGAGATAACGGGCATAGGTAAGAATACAGGGTAGCCACGTGTAGCTCAGAACAGATCAGACACATGGATGTTAAAAATGGACCCGCAGCATGACTGTGCTAACTTTGTAGTTCATCACCTTTGTGGTTTCTCTAGCTGTGAGATCCTGTAGTTGGTTTACTTTTCTCTTAACAGATTAGGTCCCAATAAGAGCATAGAAACTTCTGTCAGCTCTGCTCCACTTTACTGAATTCTATCCCACTCACTCATTGTAATTGTTGTCCTACTTTCCAGGTCCCAGCACTACCACAGAGACAGAGACGGTTGCAAAGTATGAGATCATGGATGGAGCTCCAGTTAAAGGAGAATCAATCCCCATCAGACTGTTCCTGGCAGGTAACTCTTCTCTTCTCTTCTCTTCTCTTCTCTTCTCTTCTCTTTTGGTAATATGTTGAGTGACAGCTTATCACATCTTCTGGTTCATTACAGGATATGACTTGACACCAACCATGAGGGATGTCAACAAGAAGTTCTCTGTACGCTACTTCCTCAATCTGGTCCTGGTCGATGAAGAGGACAGAAGATACTTTAAACAACAGGTAACGGAGCACAATGTGTTTCTGCATATCATCTTACCTACACGGGTGTACATTGTCTCCCTGGCTGCTTTGTATGGTTTATTTATCTGTGTATGTTGGTTCTTTGCTACAAAGCTGTCACACACGTGCAGGCCTGCTGTAGCAGAGTTCACCTGCGTTTTCTAAAAGATACAGTTAGTTTGTCAAAGCGATTACAATGTTGAATTATTTTTAATGGTAAACAATCGTGCATTAAATGTATCCTGTGGAGTTTTTGACCACTAGTAGCGCTATGTTGTTCGTATGTGGACGCACATTCACTAACACATTTACATCTGCAGTTAGAGTATAAGGCTAAGACTATTAGTACACATATGATGTTTGTTGTTTTCTATATAGGGTTCTCAATAACTGGTAAACATCTGTTAATAAATGTTTAATATCTATCTCTCTGCCTCTGTGTTTAGGAGATTGTTTTGTGGAGAAAAGCTCCAGAGAAGCTGAGGAAAAGAAACTTCCATCAGCGCTACGAGTCGCCCGAGCCCCGAACCCAGCCAGTTAATGCAGAGCAGCCAGAGATGTAACGTTCGCTGCTATGAACTGAAAATACACACACACACCCCAACTCTTCACTGCTGAACAGCCAGAGGTGTGAGCGCTGCCCCACTATCTCCTGAGACTGAGAAATGTCTGTATACATAAATACACACAACATACCTTTAGACACCCCACCCTTCGGCCCACCTTCACAGCTTCAGATGTGAGCTGTCTCACCACCATCACACAACCTCCCCCAGGACTGAAACACGCTCGCATACAGACACACAAGCATACAATCCAAGAAGGCTGAATGCTAAATGTCAAGTCAAACCAA